TAATGGAGAAGGGAGCAATGAGATGCTAGACACCCTTTGTGGGCACTCTTTCATTTCACCTTCATAGCAGTGCTAAGAGGGGGTGCCATTGTTATCCTCATTGTACAGAGGGGGAACTGAGGCTCAAAGAGGTTAAGGTTTTGCCCAAGGTCACACAGATCCTGTAATGTAGAATGTCCCCAGCTCTGCTCCAGCCCCTTCCCAAGGGTAACATTGCCCTTGGGCTCTTCCACCATCCTAGGCTAGGTGTAGAATAACACTTTGTGAGGCTTGCTGTACAGCACACAGACATCCTTATGGTTCCTCATAGAATGGGACCTCATACAAGAGTGTGTGGCTCCTACCCTCTCAGCTGGAGGTTCCAGGGGAGGTGAGGTTCATGGAGTCTGCAGTGGTTTGGAAGACTTCCTAGCAGAGCAGATAGGAGAGGAGTCAGGGAGTAGTTAGAGAGGGAAGGTCCTTGCCAGATGGGTGCTACCACTCGTCCACTCTGCCTGCTCCTTCCACCCAGACACAGCCACCCTGAAGTGTCTTCCAGTCAGTGCCAGCAGTCAGTGAGAACAGCCTTGCTAAGCAGAACCTCCCAGGCCTGTGGGACATGCTGCTCTTGGAAGTTTGGCTCTGATAGCTTCCTTTCTTTGGCCCACTCTCAGCTGCATACGGCTCAACTCAGCCCACCCCAGTCCTGCTGCCCTCTGAGATCGGAGCCAGATGCCCTGCAGCTCTCTTGTCCTGAAATACCCGCTTTCCCTGGACCTCTCCTTTAACCCAGGTCTGCTTAGCTATCTCCTCCTCCTGGAAGCCTTTTCTGATGTTCATGGGCCAGGTGAGGATCTGATAGTCTAAACCTATGCTTATCAAAAGAAATATAATGTGAGTCACACATGCAAGCTACATATGTACTTTAAAATTTTCTAGTAGCTGCATTAAAAAAAAATACAAAACAAAATCCCCCACCCCACTTGGTGGTGCATATCTGTAGTCCTGGCACTCAGGAGGCTGAGGCGAGAGGGTCCCTCCAGCTCACTAGTCTGAGTCCAGCCTTAGTGACATAGTAAACTTCTGTTGCAAAAAATGAAACAAGTGAAATTATTGTAATGATTTATTTTCTTTAATTCAATATTTTAATACAAAAATTACTAATGAGCTATATTACATTCTTTTTTTTTTCAGTACTAATTCTTCAAAATCTTGTGGATATTTTACATTTATAACACATTTCAATTTGCACTTGTCAGGTACTCTATAGTCACATGTGGCTAGTGGTTACCATATTGATTGGCACACCCCTAGAGGCAGGGAGAAGTCGGAAGGGTTGAAGCTTGGGTCTGGCATCAGGCAGATCTGGCAGTCACATCCTGGCCTAACCATGTATTAACTGGGTGAACTTTGGCAAGTCACTAACCCTTCTGAACCTCAGTTACTTCAGCTGTAAAAGGGATTAGTAACGTCAGTGCCAGAGTATTGTTTTAAGGATTAAACAAATGAATGCAGGTCTAATGCCAGGCACAGAAGAAGTGCTCAGAAAACAGCAGTGAGATTAATCTTTCAGTTTTTTGGGTTTTTTTTTTGAGACAGTCTCACTATCCAGCCTCTGCTGGGATTACAGGTATGTATCACCATCTTGAGATTCATCTTACATGGCCCTCCAATGTACTGGCTTGTGTGCCGTTCTCTTCCACTGGGTTGATCATGAATTCAAAGGCAGAGACTCCCCACTTCCTCCTTCCTCAGGGCCCACGGCTCGGCTGGGAGTGAGCATCACTGCTTACTGAATGAAGAACTGAGTCCTTGGACTAACAGTGCCCCTCACTCCCACTCTGTTGCCCCAGGATCAATGGATTCCTGATAGCTGAGAGTCCAGGAGCACTTACTACCTGTGGGTGACCTTGGCAAATTTTACTTTGCTCAGGGCCTTGGTGAACTCCTTTGAAAAGTCAAAGGGGATGGGAGGGGCCCTGCTTGAAATGTTTGAGTCTCTGCACTACCAGTGGTCTTGAGGAGCTTGAGCTGATGCTGTGCACTCTGCTTTCCAAGGTGGAGTGACTCACTTCCACCCATCTCCTGGTTTTCCTGTATCCTGGACTTTTGCACCTTCAAATTCCCTCATCAAGTTAAAATTTAAGAGGAAAGAATTCTGTCTTCTAGGCAATGCAGAGAGGGAACAATAGGGTTCTCTCCTCAGTCAGCATTTACTGACCTCCCATTGTAGCAGCCCAGTAACTGATGTGGGGCAGAGAGAGTTTCTCCCATTTTATAGGTGAGAAAAATTGAGGCTCAGAGAGCTCAACTAACCTGCCCAAGTAACACAGAAAAAAGGGATAGAGCCAGGGCTGGAAGCAGACTAATTCATATCTGAAGGAACCAAAGAGCCTTTCTTTGTGGGGAGGGCTCCCCTTCCTTCACCTGGGCCTCTGACATTTCTCCAGATAGCTTTTATGAGATGTAGTCTGGTTGAATCCTAATCCTGTGCCTCAGTTTCCCTATCTGGGGAGTGAAAGCAGCCATGTGTTGGGTAGTGATTTCAACTGATGCCTGTAGGGACCTCATGTTCTGCAGAGAGCCTCCCCGCCCCTGGCCTGGCTCCTGCACTTGATTTTTCTGGAAGGGGTTATTATTAGGTAGCGTAGAAAGTGTCTTGTCCAGTGAACAAGTGTGATCTTGACCAAGTCACTCACCACTCTGGGCTTTGGTTGCCTATTTATCAGTTGGGGGATGGTACTAACTCACAAGCTGCTGTGTAAAACCAGGTACGTTGCAAACTGAAAAGTGCTAGTAATAGAAATAGAAAATAATAATCATAGAAAATAATGATAATAATAACAGAAATAGAAATAATAGTGATCCTAGAAGAAGCTCAGTTTTCAATGTGGTCCCACTGACCGGAAGGGAATTGGGCCCTTTGGGTTTAAAACCACTGTGAAGTCTGGGAACATCCTGCCTGAGTCCTGGAGTGCAGCCTGGATTTTCCTGGGAAAGTGAGAAGCTCCATGTGGCTGATAGGGTGGGAACAGGACTCTGCCCCAGGGGAGGAGCTGGGGGAGGTGCCTGTCTAAAAAGAGAGAGGACGGCCCTTGGAGGGGCTGAGCCAGGAGGAATGGGGAGGGCATTGGCCCTGGAGCTGGTGGTTGGGAAGGCCAGCTAGCAGAAGAGGCTGGAAGTCAGCTTGGAAGCAAAGCACCTGAAGGCAGGCAGTCAAGAACCTCTCAGCTGCTGTCCATATGGAACTGTAAGTTCACTGAGTGTAACTGCTAGGTTTGACGGATTGTTTCACTCATTCATTTGAACTGAAATCAAACAGTGTGCACCCCAGTGGTAGCGACTTGTCTGAGGCCACACTCCTGAGGGCCTGCGTGGGGCTCCCTGGGGAAGTGAATTTGGAGGCCGGGAGATGAAAAGGAAATCTGTGAGGAAGATTGCCGGGCAGGACTCTGGTCCTCAGTGACTTGGCCTGGGCTGATTGGTCTGTCTTCCACCTCCTGTCTGGGGGGGGGGGGCGCGAGTGAGTGTCCTCTAGGACTGAAGCTGGTTTCATTCTGCTCTTGCTCACTCCTGAGCCTAGTGGGCAGCAGGGAGAGTGAAGGCCATGGAAGCTGTGTCTGGGAATGCCTGATGGAGGAGCTTGTCTGTTGAACTTGGAGAAGGCGTGGTTTGTGGTGGCACAAAAAGATATAACTACTAAGGGGTGTTGGGAGAGGGCAAAGCTGTGCCCTAGGTTTAGGACTAGGACCTGGGGTGGAAGGGCACCATGATGGAGCAACTACGCTGGGAAGGAGGTGTAAAGGGAGGGAGTGGCTTGTCTTTGGAGTGAGACAAGCAGAGCAGAGATGGTAACCTGCTGGTGAAGCTGACACTGGGGTGACTGCAACATGGAGGCACAAAGGGCTTAACTCACATCCAGGTGGCTTGCCAGCTTTAGTGGTGTGCCCCCAGAGGATGGCCAGCAAATAGTAGGTAGGTAGGTAATTGGCAGAATGAAAGAAGAGCTGTGTATGCTTGGGGCTGGTGGAGGTGGTTTGGGGATAGGGACCATGTGCATCACAGTGTGCACCCATCTGCAGCAATCTTTGGTGACCGTGTGTGGGTTGCCCTTCTTCCCCAGAAACTGGGACCCTGGAGACAGGCAGGACCAATCCTTTCATCATTGGCAAACTGAAACCCAGAACATGGCTGCAACTTGCCAAGGGTACTTGCAGAGCCAGAAACAGAGCTGGGCTGGAACCCAGGCTCTCAGGGGTTACGGCCCCTCACCTGTGGATTGGAAAGGAGAGAGGTGCCCTGGTGGAACTGGGTATTTGAGTTGTAACAGGGGGCAAGAAGGCGAGGAGGGCTTAGCTTGGTTTTGAGCCATGACCTCTGCCATAGACCCCTTGGTCAGCCCCTACCCCTTCTTGGAGCCTTGGTGCACACTCCGTGTGTCTCACTTCACATATAGTAAAATACACTGCACAGAGGCCCAGCCCCTACTAGGTCTCTGCGCTGACTGTTACACTATGGTCATTGTCGCTGATGTGCACACCGACAAGGTGCCTGCACACACATGCATTCAGGACTTGGGGGAGTCCAGAGACAGTTGCCATGCCCTCTCCTTGATGGAGGAGGAACGCTGAGTCCCAGGCAGATTCTGCCCTACACTGTGTTGCAGGGGAGTGAGGGGTTCCGGCTCGGGTGGGATGGGAGGCCCACTGAGGCTGAGTCACCCCTTCTGAGTCAGGGATCCTCCCCCTTTTTCTTTCCTCCCCCTCCCTCTGTCTCCGCGAGCCCCCACCAGGGCCTGGTCGAACGAGGAGGCCGGTTGGCCAGGGCAAGGGTGGGGGCAGCCGCACGGTCCCGCAGTGGTCCAGGAACAGCCCAGCACGGGTGGCCGGGACCAGGAGGAGGTGGCCTGGGCGCCTGGGAGAGGGAGGGGGCCGAGGAGGCGGAGGCAGGGGCCGGGACGCCGCGAGCGAGGAGGCAGGCGCGCGGCCGCCCCTGGGCTGGGCGCGGAGGCCGCGGCGGGGGCGGGCCGCGCGTCGGGCGCCAGGCCCGGGGCTGTGGGCACGGTGCCCAGCCCCCGGCGCACGCCGACCGCCGCCGCCGCCGCCGCTGCTGCAGTCGGCATCCATCAGCGGGCGGGGGTGTCGCGGAACAGGCTGCTCCGCAGAGCCCGCCGCGGCCCGCGCGCCGCCTCGCCCCGCGGCCTCCGGGGCCCGAGGAGCTGAGGGGGGCCACCCCTCGCCCAGCCGCCCCGAGATGGGGACCCCCAGGCCCAGGTAGGCACGGGGGGGCGGGGGATCAGGTGGCACTTGGGGGTCCGGGCGCGCTACCTGTAGGCCCAGCCTTCAACCCTGGAGGAGGACGGGGTGGCGAACCCGGGAACTGAGTTGCAGGCTGTGGGCCCCCTGCCCGGTGTGGGGGAGGTCTTTGGTGTTCCTCCCACCTCTGCAGCCTCCCCGCCCCCACTGCCTGGGGACCGAGGTGGGCTGGTGTCTACTGTCGGGTGAGCCATTGCTGGCTGATGGGCTCTGGGCAGCTGGCCCTCTCCTGAATGCCACTCTTGCTGCCTCCTGTGGAGGCCCGGGGCTCTCTGGATTTCTGCCTAGGCTTCTGATGCTGCTAGGCTGTATCTTGGCTGGAGGCTGGAGGTTAGGAGCTGCTGCCCTCATCCTCACCCTCTGGTTACAGACCCGTCCCCCCTCTGCACTTACTTCCTAGCCAGCCTCCTTTCCAAGTCTCCCAGAACTGGGGGCCCTGGGACTTTAGCCCTAGGATCTCTGTGGCTCTGGTCAGCAGTTTGTCCCCACTGATTAGAGGGCTAAGACTTGTGTGTCCCAGTTGTGTTTTGTACCTTCATACTTGGGGAGATCTGGAGTTCCCAAAAAGCTAGGGACAAGCATGGGGAGGGGGGCAAGAGTCTACAGCCACCAGGGTATTTTTTGGGTGCTGAGGCCACTGATGGGCAGAGCTATATGGGCCAAAATGACCCATGGGGACTTTGAAAAGGCTGGACAAGGACTAAGGAGGAGTTCTGGGCGTGTTGTCTTCTCTCTCTGTTCCCAGCTGTGGTTCTTGCTTTCCCCCAGAGCTCTGAGAGGAACTGGTGGGGGAGAGAGCACTGCCACGTGTTCTCACCATCACTTCTTGATCTGCATGTCACCTCCTCTGCACCCCAAGGTGGGAGGGTAAGGGGGCTGGATTTAGGACCTTTCTAGGGCTATGTGGGATCCCTTTCCCCCAGCATGAGGAGGCTTCCAGACTCTGCTGCAGTTTGGCCAGGTTGAAATCTGGGGAATTGGGATGGTGCCCTCTGAAGCTCCTGTCCCAGGCAAGGGTGTGGAGAATAGAGGCGCTGTGTGCCTGCTGCCCACCCGTGTCTCCAGATGGAGCCTGCGGCAGAGGCAGCCTGTGCCAGCCTCCTCTCTGAGCCGCCGTGGCCCAGGGAGCCTTTGCCAGCCAGTGCAGGCTTGGATCTGGCTTCTGCTGACCAGCTTGGGGTCATGCCTACCTAGTAACCTATGCACAGTATTTGTGGCTTATAGAATACTGTCCCTGGGGTGTCAGGAGGCCCTCAAGGCAGTCCTGGAAGGGATCCATGTGTGGGTGGGTGGGGAGGAGGCTTTATTCCTCTTAAAAATCGGTCCTGGGCCATGTAGCAGTTCCCTGGGGCCCAGCTCTGCGTGCTTCTTGGAGGGTTTCTGCTGTAGAACCCCACATGAGAATGGTCTGAGTCCTGTAGTCCTCTCTGGATAAATATGGAAAGGTGGATCTTGACCCTGAGAGCAAGTGTGACTTGTCCAAGGTCACATAGCAGTGGAGTGGGAGAGCTAGTAAGGTACTCAGGTCTTCTACCTCTTGGTATGGGGTTCTCCCAGCTCCGATGTCTACTTTCCTGCTGCTGTGGCTGACTGATAGGCAGCACTCTGCTGGAGGCTGGCTGTTACAGCTTGGAGCCTGAGGCTTAACTTGGCTTCCCAGCCCTTCTCCCTGTGAGATGAGCAAGAGAGGCCAGGACTGAGAGAAGGGGCAGCCAGTGGCCCTGGAGCCTCTTAGAGTATACAGAGCAGAGATATTCTGGGCATTGGAGCAGCAGAGAGGACCTCTTGATCAGACAGCCTGATACGAAAATTGTCTGTAGTCCCAGCCTGGACATCTCTGTGGACTTCTTTCTGGACTTCTCTGTCCCATTTATTAAAAGGGGATAATTTCTACTTGGGATGATACTAATGATTACACAGAGTGATGGCAGTTATTGAGCACCTACTGTATGCCATGCACTGCAATAAGTGCTTTGCGTCTTCTTACAACAACTCTATCAGATAGATGTTCTTATTCTTTTTTTTGGTGCTACTGGGATTTGAATTTAAGGCCTTGTGCTTGGTAGGCAGGTGCTCTACCACTTGAACCATGCCTCCAACGCTTTTTGTTTTAGTTATTTTTTTAAATAGATTCTTGAACTTTTGCCTGGGCTGGACTGGCCCACAGTCCATCCTGCATAGCTGGGATGACAGTCTGTGCCATCATGCCTAGCTTATTGGTTGAAATGAGGTCTTAACTTTTTGCCTGGCTGACTCAAATCATAATCCTCCTGATCTTCATTTCCAAAGTAGCTGGGATTACAGGCAAGAGCCACCACATCTGGCTTATTATCCTTTTTTTCTTTCGGATGTGTAACTGAGGTTATACAGTAGGAAAGTTCAGAGCTCCTTCCTTTACCTTGACATTATACCCAAAGCAGTATCTGGGAGCACCAGGTTGGTCCCAGTAAAGCTACATAATTAACTGGTTAGACCAGGGCTAGTCCAGGTGGAGAGCTCTGTATAGTGGGTCTGAAGAGGCAGGGGTGGCTCTGTGGCCTGAATACTTCCAAGGTCCTGGGATAGGTACAAAGAGGTACTGGTTAGAAGCCCTAAGAGGACTGGCCTTGGCCTTCTGCTTCCTGGCCAGGATCTCCTAGGAGCAAGGAAGCTTTAGACCACCTGTTCCCGTTGGAATCAGGGGAGACTGGCTAGCCCTGCCACTTGCTCCCTGCAGCATTGTTAAGGCTCCTGTGACCAGAAACCACACAGGTGGGAATGCTGTAGCACCAGTTAGAACTGTGTCCCTGTAAGCAAGGACCTGTGTTTGGGTGGACAGATGGGGGTGGCAGCAGGCTGGCACTGCTTTCTTTGTGGGCAGGAGGCTTGTGGATAAGAATAGTAACAGCTAAGTTTATTGAGCACTTATTACGTGCCAGGCACTGTTTTAAGGTTTTTACATGTACAACTCCTACAGTCCTCACAAAACCCTGAGAGGTAGCTATTCTTTCTCCCACTTTACATATTGAAGGACACTTCAATCTAAGGGAAAGACAGTTGCTCGAGGCTGTGCATCTAGGCTGCAGGGGAGGCAGTGTGGGTCAAAGCCACTTTCCTGATGGCCATTCAAGCAGCCCGCACCTTCTCAGAGGTCATACTCAGTTTTGTTCAGTTTGATACAATCACCCAATCAGATGCATCCCACTCCTCAGTGGTTTCAGGTCTAGCTGAGAGAGACGTGATGTGACGGCAAAGGTAGAGACTGGTCCACCGTGTCTGCCCAACATGGATTGCTGTTTTCTGCTCAGGGAAGGCTTCAGGAAGAGGGGGACCTTTGCTGTATGTAGGAGCAAGGTGCCCACTGGCCGGCATCAGAGGGGAAGGAAGTAGGGATACCTTTGAGGGACAGCAGGTAACCTAGTGTGCATGGGACAGACAGTCCAGGAGAGGGGCAGGAGGAGCTGACCCAGAAAATCAGCTCGTGTTTGGGTCTCCCCTGGAGCTCTAGAATCCACCAGAGCTAGGCTCTGGTCATAGCCCTGCTGTGTACTAGCCATGTAGCCTTGAACACCTCACGTAGCTGATCTGAGCCTCTGTTTCCTCACCTGTAAAATATGAACAAACACACCTGTCTCATGGGGACCACATTATGGTTGTTACATAAAAGCCCCTTCACATTGCTGGCACGTGGCAGGACCTCAGTAAGTGTCACTTCTCTCCCCCCTTCTGTGTCTTAAATGTCAGGTTGAGGTGTTTTGACTTGACATGAGCCTGGAGACTCAGAGGACCTTTGCAGGGTTTTGGTCTGCAGAGGAGCATGACAGAGCCGTGTTTTGGGACTGTCCCTTTGGCAACTGTATGACCCAGAGAAGAGGGTGGGCTGTGACCTTGCAGAGAAGCCTTATCTTGGGGTCTTGAAGGCCAGAAGGTTGAAGCTGCACTAACATATGCTTCTGTGGTGGCAGGTGGCTTGCCAGTGGGGAGGAGCAGTTTAGGGTGGGGCAGACCCGGGGTGGGGTGGGGTTTGAGGCTTGGTGAGTTGAGAAGGGCTGATCTCTTGCCAGTCATTTGGAGGATTGGGCAGCATCTTCTTTGAGCATCTGGCTTTTTTTTTTTTTCTTCATTTGAATTATTTTCTTTGGATGAATCCCCATCAGAGCTTCTCTATAATAGCAGCAAATTGGGACTAACTGTCTGACAATGGGAAGATGATCGGGAACGTTTTAGAACATCTACTGGATAAATCAGAAATCTTTCTCACAGAGTATGGAGCTGTCGATGGCAGAGCTTTTGCATCCTTTATTCATTTCATGTTCATGACTGCCTGGTGACAGAGGTGGGGCGGGTTACATCCTTCCTGTGCATGAAGAGATTGAGGCTGGCCTCTATTCTCCTTGAGGGCGGTGATCATGTTTTATTCATTGTTCTAGCGTCAGCGTTGCTCACTGATCAGCAAATGCTTGTCCAGTGAAAAAATGGTCGAGTGAACTAAGCAGAGAGGAAGTGACTTGTTCAAGGTCATGCAAGTTGTAAGATCCAATATCTGCCACATTCTGGCCATCCTTACTTGCCATGTCTTCTTACCCAATAAAGATGCTCCTTGATTTACAATGGAGTTGCACTCCCAAACCCATTATGATATGAAAGTATCCTAAGTCGCACATGCATTGAATGTACCTAACCTAGTGAGCACCCTAGCGTAGCCCCATGGAGTGCTGTATCTGACGGGTTGTTCACCCTCGTGATCAGAGGCTGACTGGAGCTGCAGCTCGTTGCTGCCTTCTAGCATCCCAGAAGGTGTCCTGTGGCAAATTGTTAGCCCAGGGGAAGATCAAAATTCAAAGTAAGGTTTGACTGAATGTGTATTACTCTGTATCACTGTAAAGTCAAAAAGTCGTAAGTCGTGGACCATCTGTATCAGTGAGGGGATTAGAGGGGAGGTCCCCAGTGAAGACTTGGGACTCACACAGATCAGGGAT